CCAAAGCTATTAATCTGCTGACGGAATGAAAGGTCAAGCAGTGACAGCCTGGAGGGACAATCCTAGTAGGTTTCAGAATGTATTAAGATCTGTTATGAGCTAGCTAATTTAAATCCCTACACTCTAATTAGGATTCACTGTACTAGGGCTCAGGCAGCTTCTGCTGGTTCCTTGAAAAACACTCCTGTTTCAGATATCTGCAGGGCACCTTTTTTGGCGTCCTATCTATGTTTTGAATAAACAGTGTTCCCTAATAGAAGCAGATTGCTGCTTTTGGTAGAGTTGTGTTGCAGTCTTTCAACTTTACACGTGTATCTTGGAAGTCACTCAAGGCAGACTATATGTGGAGCAACCCTTGAAGAAGAAGGAAATCAACTTGGAGTTCCTCAAGATGAGTTGTCCTTATATATATTCCAAAAACTATATCTTCCTTCCCATCCTGCCAGAGTGATGCAGCATTTGGATTCTAAACTGGTGAAGGGACTAAGTCGCATCTGAGCATCCAGGGCACATATGTGGCCTATATAGGCAACCGCAGGCCAAAAAGCTGTGCTCTTGAGGGTGTGGGATACATGAATATACATTAACTTTGAGTTAACTGTCCTTTGCTTTCTATTTTAAGGCAGATTTATTTTTTGATAATCTTGTCTCACACACTAAACTGTTGCGTATGCTCTGTTCTCTCTAGATATCTCTTTGCAAAACCTTAATTATCCTTGCTTTGGAAGGACTGTCATATTACCATACTTACGACAGATTGTTCCTGGGCATAAGTATTGCAATCGGTTTTGTGGGCTGGACATCCTATGTGATTTTGCTGATTATTAAGACGCAAACCAATCTGATGAGGACTGTCCAGAATAATAAGGTAGGTTAAAACATATAGTGACTGCCCAGTTATCAGTAATATGTGCACATGTAGTATTAATTTCTTTAAAAACAGTGGTCTGGCTGATGTCTCCATGAGTTTAAAAAGAGGCTTTCTGGCTCGTAATCCTTGTTTTTTGGTGGAAATCCCCCTCACCAACTTTCAGGTGTGGTTTGGAACATCCCCCCCCCAAGGGTTGCTAGATAATGTATGGGAAGATGGGAAGGAGCATTCAGATTTATCCCACTTTGCGATGAGGTTTGTAGTTCACTGGATCTCTGAACTAAACTAAAAATGCCAAAAAGATATCTGCATTTAACTAGTTCAGTTTTAACTTAATGGAAACTCATAATTGTTTTTCTTTACAATGTTTCTTTATCTGTATGAATTTCAATCATAGCTTCTTTGATTGCATTTTCCGTATTTGTACATTTTTGTTTATGACCACATTGGAATCATAGTCCAGCAGTATACAGAAACTATCTTTATCTTTCTCTAGTGTTCTGACACTCTATGTATGGTATCATTTGGGCACTGTATTAAAAAAAATGAAAGCTTTAATAGGTGCCTCAGAAAAATCTCCATAATAGTGGCATTTTTAAGTTACTGTCTATGGCAGTCATTTTGCTTATAACCTAATTAGATACTGACAATGATGTACAACTAGGGAAGAGATTAAAAAGCTCTCTCTCTAACATCAGGAGAACCTAACTCCATAAATAAATATGAGCCTTTTAGCCAGAATTCAGTGACCTCCCCGCCCCCCAATGCAAAGTTAAGATTACCTCTTGGTGTCTTACACTGTTTTAAAATGAAATTTTCTTTAAAACTGAAACATCTGAAAACCAGGAAATAAAGGGCAAAGGTGCATGCCCATGCTACTTTAGTTAAAGAATTGTATACAAATATTTCTGCTGCAGACACTGTACTTAGTGTAATTGCATTTAATGGTGGATGGGAATGTTGGAGCTACTTGCCAAAGCTGTGTTTATGATGGACTTTGAAGGAGGACTTTGAACTACAGATGAGCCCCTTTGCTTGAGCCCAGTGTGTATGTAAGCAAAAGGAAATACTGCATGTGCACCCTGAACAATTCAGGGCATGGATAGTGTGTTCATTTGTTGTGCTACAAAGTATGTCAGCACTTCATAGCACTATAAAAACGTAGTGCTGTATGGGTGTGAAAGTGTTCCATTCCCCCTTGCTGGACAGCTAAAATCATCTCAAAGGCAAGCTCGCCAGCTAGGGGCCATTAGGGTATTGCTCCTTGGTTTCCACTGCCCCCAACAGAGCCCAGTTGCTGCTGCTCTCTCCCCTGCGAAGGACTGCGGGCAGTCAGTGATCAACTAGCAAAGCCCCAGCTGCCCAGCTCTGCTAAACAACTGCCAACAGAGCTACAACTTTGAAAGAAGCAACATTGTGTAGTACTTTTTTGTAGCGCTTCATGCAGTTTGAATGGCTCTTTGCTTGCTTTTTGTAGCACTACAAAGGCCATATTTAGCCCTACAAATGTAATCCCTATCCGTGGCCTCTGTAAGTCTCATTTAAGTCCTGTGCTACGTAGGTTGCCAGCAGTGAGGCCCAAGTGGGATTTTCTTTCCATGGGGAGTGTTAGCAATTACCAGAGATGAGCATGCTGTGTGGGTTATTAAAAGTATAGTAATAGATAGCAGTGCTTATCAGGATGAATGGGTTATAAAATTTAGCAGTAATGCTGTTTTTTTCTGTATAGTAAGATAAGCTCTGGAGTGAAGGCCAGGAGTAAGTCGTTCCTGTGGAGTATAGTTCAAAAGCAGATTACATTTGTGTGGCAGGGGCATCAAAGAAGGCAGGAGTTAGCTCATCTGCAGTTGTTAGACCTTTTCAGTTAACACTTTGCAGTTCAGATGGTGTTGGTTAGTTAAACGTTGCTATAGGATTCCAGATCTTCCTTCCCACTCTTGGATATCCTGTTCATAGTGCAGCAGCAATTATGGTCATGCTACTGTTGACAAAGCTGGTAAGAAATCACAGATGTGGTCTGTGTCCCAAAGTCTTTAGCAGTTTTATGTGTTGGTTACAATCCAAAACATGAGAGAACTGGAGCACCTCCTTCCTCCTCTCCTTCCCCAGCATCCTTCCCCATCACAATTTCCAAGGAAACTTCCCTTTTCATCCCATTAAGCTACTAGCATTTCACAAGACCTTAGCACCTGGTGCTCTTTACAGTTTGGCACTTCCTGCTGTTGCTGCTTACATAAAGTACAGGCAGCAGCTTATTACATGGCCATATCCAAGCTACAAAACCAAGGAAGTGCTATACACCAGACCAGGCCCTGACTCCCCACAAAGCCAGTCCCTTACATGAGCTCCTGATTTTTTTTGTTAGATTTCTCAGATATGCCTTTGGCTTGTCTGGTCAACCCTACCCGCATCCAGTTCCTATACCATAAGCAGGCATGGTTTGCACTTTTTTTAATAGTATATTTTTGTAGAAACCAGTTAGGGGAGCACCTTCAGCCTATTTTTGTTCCTCTCCCTTTGCCTCCCCACTCCCTCTCCACCAGATCCTTATGTGAGAGCTTTAGGGGAAGGTCTGAGACCATATCATAGAAAGTAAGGGCCCCCAGATTCACAGGAGGCAAGGAAAGGGGCAAGTACACCACAGAGATTCTGGCTGTCATGGAGAAGCAGGCAGAGGGATTCAGATATATTCAGAAGGGGCATCTTGTCAGATCTTGATCATCAGTATAATGCCTATGTGTTTGTTGAATATCAAGTTCAGTATTGCTCCCCAGAACATTTGGTGGATGCCATGTCAGGTAAATGTTAAGTGGTCCCACCATCAGCACAATTGGTACATTTGTGAACCATAAAGAATGCTGCATTTCGTGAAGGGGGAGAGGTGGGCAGTCAAGGAGCCTGTATTTTGGAAAACATTGGTTCACATTATTTTAAATGTGGGTCACTAACCCTACCATGCAACCCCACAAGCTCATCTAATGTCAGAGCAATAAGGCATACAGATTTTGGGGTATGTCTGCATGGATATGGTCAACCCCTGTGGGCAGTCAAGCCCAACCCTGAAAGCTCTGCTGCGTTTTTGGGTAAGTCAGTCTTGCTTCCTTATCTACCATTTCCATAAAAAAAATTTTTGTGAAGCGGGCTTTGAACATGAGGCCCTGCCAGCAACAATCCCATGATTTCTTGTTCTTGTATTCCAGTCCCTTCACACCCTATTTTGTGCTTCTCCTGCTCATAATGGCCAAGTCTGGATGTAGAGAAATTGGTTCACGGTTTCTTAGAAGCATGCTGCAAATATATGCAAGTGGATGGCCTTGGTATGGATTTAAAGCTTTTAGCCTGTAGCGAGGCCATCCACTTTTGTGTATTTGCATTTCTAAGAAACTGTGAACTAGTTTCTCCACAGGGACAGATATGCAGGAATTCCATGAGGTTGAAGTTTTTATTTCTTTGCAAAGGAAATTGTATACAACAGTTCTTATAAATTATCACTGCTGAAATTTGTCTTCTGCAAACATCAGGAATGGAATCCATTTTTTAAATATCTCCCTCTTTTGTTACTGTTCTAATCATCTAATCTGATGGGACAGTTTCTACATCACCAGGCTGTAACACATTTATTTTACTATGCTATTTCAGTCTGTAGTTGGGAGCAGGTAGGGATGTGATTACTTCTTCTACATTTAAACAGTACATAATCTGACAGCCAAAACCACAAGGATATCAGGTCTTCATTCTGCACAAAGCAGACTTCTTTTACTGGGGCATTCAGTGGGCAAACCTGTGGATCTAAAGGGATATTACCACCCACCCTAATAGTTATTATTCTGGTTGTTTTCCTTCAGTATATATGGATCTCTGGGAACAAACACCACACATAGGAAAAGGGGTTTCTTTCTCCACACATTCTCTAATATGAGGCATCACCATTAGAAAATGTGTTGGATCAGGAGTATTTTATAAAAGTTTTCTTCATATAAAATGGATATAGAAGATGAATAAACCTGTTCAGATATTTCTTCTACTACATATTCCTGTTACTACCACTCTACAAAGCCTTCTACCGATTCCACCTCAAAATCTTCTCTTCCCCTCCTTTCCCTGCCATCACTTGATCAGGCAGGATATATTTTTTTTCTTGATCTATTTTCAGTGCCATCTGTATTTGCTTTATTCCAGTTGACATGCCCCCAAAATAAAAGGCTCATGTTACAAAAGCTGATTGAGGAGGGGAAAACAGGAGGCATCTTGCTATCAATTTATGTCACATTGATTTAGACTGAAAATAGTTGGGTTTAGATCAAGCTCAGTTGCTTTGCAATAGTTTTGCAGTATCTACCTTGTGAAAACTGGTACGCTAAGAAAACATTTTGGCTGCTGTCTCTGCTAACACAGTGTGTAATGTGTTTGGGTCACTGCACATATCACCAGGGATCCAGGTTTTCCATTTCCCACGGAAAAACAGAAAAAAATGTGGATTTTCCCTTTTACCCAGGAAAAACGTGGATTTTTCATTTTAACAGAGACGTGGGCAACTGGTACCTCCCAAGCCTGGAAGGCACCGGATCACTGGGGGTCCCCCATCACGTTTTATAAGGAGGAGATTAAAGACTCTCAAAAAAATCGGTCAGATATTTTCAGAATAAATTACATTTGTTAATGTATATGATAGTGAATGCTTAGTTAACATCTTCATGTATTCAGTAAATTATTTTGAGGATATTCCTGTAGTGATATCTTGACATTTTGCAGTGTCTCGGCTGAAATAAGTTTGTCCCTGCCCTTTAATAAAGAATTCCAAAATTGAATAATGTTCAGAAAAATCATAATGCGTAACTGATGTTTTCTTTCTTTTTTACGAAGGAATAACCCAGAACTTAGTGACTTCTGTTATTAATAGAGCCAGTGAACACACTAAGAGTATTCAGAGCATTAACTGTGCTATGCAAAACTTGGAAGTGTGCTCATAAAAGCCAGACATTTTTTTAAAATGAGGT